CACAGGAACAAACTGCACAGTAAGGACATGGCCAGGCACCACCAAAAGACGGTCGCCTTCCAACGGTGCACCTTCAACCTGGACCTGATGGCCTGGCGGCGACCATAAGTCGTAGTGCTCCGTGATCTCGGTATGTGAGCAATCGCCATCCGTGACAATCCACTGTTCGAGGCCCATCAGCAAAGGCCGACAATCAATTATCACCGTGAGGATGTCCGGCCCCAGTCGCCGAGGCGGAATCGGGACATTGGGTATCCTATCAGTGACGCTGGCCACACCTTTGCAGAGCCTGCCGTCCATTACCACATTATGAAGAGGAGGATGTGCAAGCTGGATGGTTGTCCAGTGATAGGGAAGTCGGAGAGCATTGGCAACATCCAGATGATGGTGCGCCGCCCTACCTGGTAAGAGCGTAAAGGCCTGTATACCCTGTTCATGCACAAGGCAGACCTGTGTCGCCCGATTCCACGCCCCGTCTGTTGGCACTACGTCGTCCTCAGACCATTGTGCCAAGTTAACGAGCATGTGAGCCAAATCTGGCTGTCCAGCACCAAACGGGTAGATGTGGTATCGAAGTTCCGGATCTAGTCCGGCCTTTGCAACAAGGACTGCATATGTCACGCGCTGTGGCATGTCCGCAGCAAAGACCCTGCCATCCAACTCGCGGAGGTCAAAAATGCAAAGCGGCTCATCCTGAGCCCACGCTGGAAGAGCAATGAGCGTACCCCAGTGCGGGGAAAGTTGCTGCTTCGCTGGCACCAGCTGCGAGAACAAGCTGTAAAAGTCGTTGTCTAAAGCAAAGGATACCGCATCCAGAGCGGCTTGGGCTGTCGCTGGCCGCTGGAGCCGCACACTGACTGTTTGAGAGGCGTGGTGCCTGGTAAGGACGAGAAACCGCGCCAGGTATGTTGGGGCATGATCAGATACTTCAGAGGTCGACTCAGAGCGAGCTCTGTCCGACTGCGGCCCGGCTTGGAGAACCTGAACCTCTGCACCTGGCTCCCTTGACAGCGCAGTCTGCCGCAAGGCATCGATGACAATATGGAGCCAGTAAGGGCATGGTTCAAAGGCTGGGGGGGGCGGCCCACGACCGGCTCCCTCCTGCCAAACAACTTCGATGAAACAACAACCCAGACTCGGCGGCTCTGCTATGGCCAGCACTCGAAAATCGAGGCAGCGACAAAGATCGCTGGAAACCCCAAGACTCGCTGCGAGCTGGATCGGGCTATGCTCCCAAGTCACCGTATGGAGCACATTGAAACCTAACCCAATGGGTCGGGCGTCGAAGACAAGAGTGAAAGGAACCTGGCCGAACTTAGCAAGCAAGTGAGAAATGGACGCCTCAACAACTAGACAGTGGCAGGGCTCCCCAAATACCTCAAGATCTGAGAGGCCTGCCGCCGTCCGCAGGTAAAGGTCCTCCTCCTCTACTCCTAGGAGCTGTCCAATCCTAGAACGGGCATTGACACTGCCTAGGTACCTGTCCTCGAAGGGCCGTGTGCGGCCACGGAGGTGAACGGCAAGGCCGGGCAGCAAACCCTCACAGGTGACATGGTGGAGGCTAGTCCATTGCGCATCGGAAGCAAAGAGCCGGCTAATGGATATTGGCCGCCCAGGTTCTGAACCGGAAGGAGTCACTTGTATGACGTCTCCATGCTGCAAAGCAAAAGAGGTCAGAGGCCGGATCTTCTGTCGTTGCTGTCCGACCCAGATGTCCCAGTCCGTGGGCTCACCTCCAATGACCTCCTCAATTCTGTTGCATAACAGCTCCCAAGAACAGAGGCTAGGCAGGACAGTGGCAAAATATTGATCGTGCACCGAAGAAAGATCAAAGATGACCGCGCGCCGCTGCAGCAGGTCAAGACAAGCAGGGAAGGCGACAAACATGGCAGTGCCTTCATACCTCTGTGGTCGTATTGGCGCCAAACGCTCATGGTGCTGACGAAGAGTGACGTAGTGCCTGACCACCTGCTTGGAGGTAGCAATAAGGGTGGGACAGGGGCCCATCCTCAAGCCAAACGAGGTCTTGCGAAAACCCGAGGCATAAACCTCAACCCCAAGCCAGGTCTTGGGAGGGACATCAGCATATTGCTCTCGAGGCAGGGGTAGTGGTATGACATCCACACCTGGGAGAGGATGATAAGCTGTGCTCCTGCCTGCACCCGGAGCGTGACTCTGAGCACTCTGAGGGAGTGGTTCTGGCAGCCCAAGAATAATCCTGTCCGCTGCAGCCAGAGCCGTAATAAGGCCCGGCGGTGAGGCGAACACTTGGAAAGGCAAATTGGCAAGCGCGAGAAAGAAAAGAACCTTCTGCCCTAAACCCATGCCTGACCTCGAACACGTCCGACGGGGAGGCTGCTTTGGAAAAGCGTGCCGCGCAAGGATCGGTACGGTGGTCCCCAAGCGCCCGATCACAAGAGTCGCTCCTTGGCTGAGGGGCCGTGACTGGAAGAGAAAAAGTCTTCCTAAGGGGATTCTGTGAACGCCCAGCTGGCTCAACAGAAGCCAGCTCAATGCACAGTGTAGAAAGAGCAGCAGACCAAGAAGAAGGGAGGTGGCCTGAGCTGCTAGCCACACAAGGTCAAGTGGGCACGATTGGCTGCAGGGGGGTCGGGCCAGGGCCACTACCCTATGAACCGGCGGAGAGCCAGAGGGCCAAGGAACTAACCCAAATGGCGGAAGCTGCGGAGGAGACACGCCAATGCAGCACAAGGAGGGCGCAATAGCGAAGACCACCCTAACAGGTTGATACCCCAGAGCCACCGATGTATCTATTAGGCACCTGTTGGGGCAGCCTTCCCAAGCACAAGGCAAAAAGTGCCGGGGGGGCGCCGAGGAAGACAAAAGTCCAGGCGAAAATGAAAGGGGCCTGAAGGACCAAAGTCGACTGAAGAAAGGCCCTGATGTGAGTCCAGCAAAGCCTGATGGATCCTCGCAAGTTCCCGGCCCTGAGCCACCGATGCGGGTATTTGGCACTTCGCGGAGGAATAGAGAAAATTGGGGGGGCCAGCGACCCATCCCACGGCGGGGATTCGGAGAAAGCGACATCGCCTGAAGGACCTGCAGGACCTGGGGGCGGCTGGCCAATGGGGTAAGTGGAGCCAAGCACGCTCCAAAGGATGGCAGCAGGAGAGGAAGAAGGCGGGGTGTAGCGAGGCACGGCGGGGCCGAGGGAGTGGGAGCACAATCCATATGCTGCCTTCCCTCAACAGAGGAGGAGGAGCCATACAGAGGAGGTGTCGCAATAACCCAATGCGCAGCATCCTCTGTTGACTGGCGATGAGGTGATCGTGAGTGAAGTCGCGGTGGGCTTGACACAGAGAGAAAAGAGGGGCCCCTAAAGCAGTCTGTACAGTCCAAGTGAGACCACACGTGCCCGTGCCACTGGGTCTCACACGAAGAGGCACAGCTCCAAGGACATTGCCCGAGGGGAGGAGGCCGTAGGGACTTCCCCAGCGAAGTCCCATACGGACAGGATCCCTCCAGGCTGTCCAGAGGAGAAAGCCAATCCGCTTGCACCCAGGGCGCGTGTCTACTCGACTGAATCACTCCAGTTTGCCAAGACCTGGCGAAGCAACAGCTAGCTCCTCGTCGTCGTCGTCCAACAACCCCGGTGGCCGTGCGGCGGATAGCCCGGGAGGCTCCTCTGGAGGGCCCGCATTTGCCCGGTGGAAAGGAGCGAGCGCGGTGCCTGTAACTGCCGCACGTCTTAGATCGAGCTTCTCCTGCATCGTGAGGCTGCCTACACTTACCTTCTCGGGGTGTGTTCTTGTCGCCTCCTTCAGGGGCGCCCTCGGAGGCAGCTTGCTGTCCGGCTCTGTGACTGCCCCTGTTCTCACCGCTGGACTCACAGGAGATGTCCGCGGTAATGGTTCTTTGACCGCCTCGTCCTCGGTACGCGGTGGGGCTGGCGAAGTGGCCTGATATGGTGCGGGCCGCGTGGTCAAGCTGCTTGGGGACACTGCGCCATAACTGTGTAGCCCACTCGGCTCCGGAAAAGCGGCTGCCGCTGTCTCCAATGGGGCAAGCGTCTCGGTGGGCAGAACTGGTTGACCGCCAAAGTGCGGTAACACGCGCGAGGGCAGCTCCTCGCCCCGCTTGAAGCGTCGCAGGAGTTCGGCAGTCTCCGAGTCCAAAACTTCTGCAACGGGGGTGGTCCTGAGCATCATCCGGTCCCAGGGGTCCAACCTGGCCGGCTCCTTGGCATCCATTGCCATGGGAACCGGCTCCTGGCCAACAGGCAGAAGAGCAAGCTGCTCCTTCACTGCCTTGAGTTGCTTCTGTGCCTCCTCCAGCTCTGCAGCCAACCGTGCCTGCGTCTCCTGGAAGTTCCGTTCTTCGGCCGCATAGGCCGCTCGGATTTCTTTTTCGTAGGCGGCGAATCTGGCCTCCTTCTCGGTCTTGTCCTTGGTGAGCCTCGTCACCTTCGCCTCTGCTTTGCGCAGCACATTGGCAGCATGTTGCATGCGCTTCGCCATGCTGTCCTCCGCAGTTTCCGCCGGAAGCCTCTCTTCTCGGAGGACACGGATCGGTGGCCCAGTGGCTTGCCAGCTCCGATCGTAGGACGGGAAAGAGCGGGCTGTCGGTGACGCGGATTTCCATGCGCCCTTCCAGTAGTCCCAGGAGGGAGCACCATACGACTGCGAACCATCTCGCTCTGCTGCGTGCCATGGCGCCTTCGCCTTGTTCTTGCCCATCCGAATCGCCAGCCTCAAAGAAGGAGCCGTTGCGTGGTGGGCGAGTAGTCCCTGTCTCCGTCGCTCAGGAAGGGAACCGTTCCGAAGAGCCTGACGAGCTTTTTGCCGATGCCGCCTGGCACGTCTGTGCCACGATGGCGAGGGAAAAAAGCGAGGGATGGCGAACGGGGATTTCTACCCCGTTCTGGGGGCTTGCAGCAATCGAGCGCTATTGCTCGTGTTCTGAGCCCCTAAAACAGTATAGGTAATTATCTAGGCCCCTATATTATCTTAAAATGCTAGGAGCATCTTCCCCCGTGGCACCTGCAGCCCGAGGCCCGCCAAAGAACAGGGATTATCGCCGGACCAGGCAACGACGAGACCTTGCCACCGCTGGAGACTACTGACATACTAAGTACCTCTTTCAGGGGTACTCTGGGATACCATACCCTAGGCTTCCAAGGACCTTATAGTTAGGGCCCTAGACCCCTTAAGGACCCAATAATAAGGTCCCGGGAAGCCTAGGGATAATAATAATTTTTACAGAGTTGCTGGACTGCGGCTGAGGTCGTGGATTTGAATGCCGGTCCTCTGGGAGATTTCACTTGCCGGGGCACGGCATGCTCTATGTGGCAGCGGCTATGCGATTCACTAAATCATCCTGCGCACGGCTCAGCCCAAAAAAGCTGACCCTCCAACCCACGGTCTACTGCCGAAAACTAAAAATAATTGAGAGCGCAAACCTCCAAAGCTTCGAAACATGCTGCAGCACCAAGCTTGGACACGAAACCGTAAACGCAGCAACAGCAATGGTAACTCTAGCTCTCGGTTGCAAACCCCCGCTAGAGCCGAGTTCTGCAACTTCTGCATTTCCTAAACCCTAAAACCCAAACCCTGATCCGTTTCAATTTCGATCAGACTGATGAGACAAGGAGAGCAAATTCACCCAAGAAGGCTCCGCCGTTGAAACCTTGTGAGCTTGGCTTTACCGAGGGGGCGTTTGGGCTGTTATATGAGGGTATGAGGTGTAGGGTACTGTGATTTAGCAAATATAGTAGCTGCAACTACCGCAAACAGGGGTATAAGTAAGTATAAGAGTAGTTGGCTGAGTATGACCCTACCTGTGAAGTCCCCTGAGTTTTAAGGTCTGCACTGATCTTCTGCGTTCACATGGGGGATTTGAACAATGGATCGGGATCCGTCTAGTCATAATTTAGGATCTATATTTCGGGCTAGCTTCGGCGTTGGATTCTCTGGCTACTCAAACTCCGTGACTTCGAGCGCTGGACCTATTTTTCAAAGACCGAAGCCGGAATCCCCACTACTGCACCTATGTTCTATATTGTATGAAGCTTCGGTTTAGGGTTTAGGGTTCAGGGTTCGGGGTCCAGTTAGGAATTAGGGTTTAGGGTACAAGGTTTAGGGTTTAGGGTCTAGGGTACCGCTTTTAGGGCTCCTACTCTGTTAGCCTTGCCGGCTTCCTCAAACAAGTGGGTTGTGGGGTTCAGGCGAGCACCTGAACTTAAGGGACAATAGGAGGGACCCCTAGAAGGGACCCCGAATCCTAATACCATATAAACCTTATATACCCCTGATATAGTCTGATAAAGCCCCTATATAACCCCAAGGGTCCCTCTAAGGGTCCCTCCTTTAGTTAGTCCCTTGATGAACCCTTTCAGACGGAGGGCAGGTCGGGGAGAAGCCATACCGCTTCACGAAGTAGGGCGCCACCTTGGCGCATGTTGGATGCTGCCCTTAAGCCCCATAATGTAGGCGCCTTAATGATTAGAATAGGGTTTGGGGGTATATTTTACTATAAAAAATAATAAGAAGCCCCACCCCCACCCCCACCACAAAAAAAAAAAA